CCCCCCCCCCCCCCCCCCCATGGTGGATTCCATCGCCGCCCCGATACGCACGCAGACACAAGACAAAGAGAGGCGATCAGAAACACCAATGGCGGGTTTAGTGCCTTCCGCCTTCAGAACCCGCTTCTTGCGGTGGTTGCGCGACTCCGCGTGGCCGAGACTAATCCTGGTCGGGTTCCACGTCGCGGAAGTTTGTGAGCGCACCATTCCGCTGGCATCCCTGGTCGCCGCCCTCGGTGATTGGATGTTTCTCGCACCCTTGGTAATGGCGCCTGGAATGTGCGTGCGCTACGTCGCGCGGCGGGCGCTGGTGTCGAGGGCGGAGGGTGACGGGGTGGTGTCTACCGTGAAGTCGGCCTTGAAAACATCGCTGGTGAGGGTAGGAAGAACGACCCACAATCAGTCGCTCAATTTGAGAGACTAAGATTGTTAACATTGTTGATTCTGTTGATGTTGAGTTCTTCGCGCGTCAGAAAACATTCTGATTCTGTGTCGAGTACCGTGTCTTCCGTGCTCCCCAAGGCAAAGAACCATGTTTCTGCGATAATGATCTCACCCAGACTGAGATCAAAAGCGAAACCAAAGAGATCACTTGAGAAAGAACACAACTTGCCATGGTTCATTTTGTTTATTTTCCATGCTCCTTCGAGCGTAGCGTGCCAACAACTCCTTGCAACACAGCGTCGCGTGCTATTTGATCTTTAAACGAGCATCACCAATGAGCAACCATATGGGAGAGCTGTATGTTCAGGGAAGGCGGTGTTCTACAGTGTCAAACTCGATGTGACAGCCAAATGTAAAACACTGCAAATTGATATGCATGCGTGTGCCCCCCAACCCCCAACCCCCGAAAACCAAACCAACGGCTTGAGAGGGTCCACAGCGGCTCCAGCTGCGAAAGCGCTACCCAGCAAGCAAGGCGGTCAGTCTGTGCATCCACCACGTCCACCAACTTTGCCTCATTCACGAACCTCGCTGGAACCCCACCCCCACTCAACCCCGCCCCACGCAGGCCTTGGACAGCGCATTCGGCGCCGGAACTCCGGTGCATGTCGCCGCGGCAATCAGCTCCACCTTAGAGACAATCGTCTTCGAAACCGTCGGTAGCAACGCGCCGCGCGGATACCCGGACAAGCTCCACCAATTGTTGCTGTACTGGATCTCGGTGTTGTTTGCCTTCACGTGGGTGATTGTTGTGTTGGAGGTGACGATACCGGCGGGCCGAGAGCGCACGCTGCTGCTGCGGCCCCGAACGCTCGTCCGGCGTCTAGCGCTCTTGGGATCACGATGGACATCTTCGAGGTCTTTGTCGAGTAAACCAATCATGCGTACTATTCACATGCAACCATCATCCTCATCGCTTGGGCTGCCGCACACCGCATGCGGCAGTAGCGATGGCGCCGGCGCAATAGAGGACGACCGGCGAACGCCTGGGTCGAGAGGTGGCAGGGGGGTAGCTTCGGTGGTTCCGGTAGAGTGACGGAAAGGTAGATCTCGTGGGTTCGATCGAAGGTTTAGGGTCGTGTGTGCTTCATGTCGACGCTAGGTCGGTCGTTAGCAATTGGGCTGTTGTGCAGCCCTCCTCGTGCATGTTTGTCGATCATGAGGTGATTTTGAACGTGCTCCTTGTGTGCTACTATCTTTGCGTGTCTTGGTTAGATGAGCTTTTCGGGGGGGTTGCCCCTGTAAGATAGAATCGGGTCTTGCGCGAAGAAAGAAAACTTGTCAAGGTGTGCCCAACGTGGAGGGCACGGGCGTGGTCGACTACGGCGATCCTCTGCGGCTTGAGTGGTGAACACTCTGCGATGAACGCTGATCGTCGAGAGCTTAGATTTCGACAAATTCGCAAAATAGCAGCTGCCGCATGCGGTCCGATTTCATGAGTTAACGCCAAAACCTCTTATATATGCACCGCCGAAGAACACGTTCGAGGTGGCGAAGGGAGGCGTTTACCCCGACCGCGCACGGTAAGCGACCGACCACACCAGTGATGTTGCCGTTCTTCTTTACTACTCATCAGGGCGCGCAGGCCTCATTTGCCATAAGTAGACGACACCGACAAGGGTCGTGACAGTCAACGCTAAGCTGTAATGCGGAAGTTGTAAAAAGAAGACCCTACCCGTTCGCCAGCGTACGACTAAGTGGTCTAGCCTCCTTGTTGGATTATCTACGAAATTAGATTATGAAGTATACTACTTACAAGGTGTAGAGAGCCAAGTAGACCAAGGCATGTACAACGCACCAATGCGATGGACCCGACCGCCAGTTCCAACGGCACAAGCTATGCTGCCGGCATCGCTAACCTCCCCAAATCTCTTCAAAGTTATCGGCGGGAGCACGACGCGGCGCGGTTTCAGGGGCACGTCCAGTTCGTGTGGCCACACGTCCACCAAAACATGACACCAACATGTGCCCGCTACAGGCAACAAGCTATCGCCGTAATAGCAGGCCTACTACGACTACAGCGAGGACCCAAACACACGGGACACTCATGTATCGGTGCATAAAGCTTGCCACAACGCGCACCCTTCTATAGGTTGTTTCACTTAGCAACGATTGCCTTGCCAGTGCCAGCGGCAGAAGCGGATGGCTTGCCACTGGATTCGCTTTTCTCGAGCTCCTTCTTCATCATCTCCAAGAAGCTGCCATCGTTCTTGAACCCGCTCCCACCGTCCCCTCCGGCCGCTGCGAGTTCGGCCTCCGGAATGTACACAAACTCGTCTTCTTCCGCGGTGACACCGTCGCTGCTGCTGCCGCCGCCACTGCTGCTGGTGGAAGAAGACGAAGGGCCCTTACCCTTGCCGGCACCGGTTTTCGCTTGCTTGGCGCCGTTGCTGTTGCCAGCTTTGGCGGCCTGCTTCTTCCGCTTCCGCTTCTCCGCTTTCTTGCGTGTCCGCTCCTCGCATTCGTTCTTGCCCTGCAGTTAATTCCGCGGACGCCAAACAGCAGCCACAAGTTCCAAGTCAACGGCTGGGGCCAGCATGGACAGCCGCATTATCGTCCGGCGGCGGGAAGGTCGAAAGACTTACGGTGCACAAGGGCGACAGAGCCTACCAAAAGCCCGAAATTGTATTGATACATGTGTTCACTGAAGTGAAAGACGAGAGCGGCAAAGCCAACGATGTTTGTATCTAATCCAATTCCGGCCGGGGACGGAACGAAGGAGAAAATGTGATTCATTCCCCACCCACAGACGCGGTCAATGGCTTCAGAGAATAATCACGCAAGTCCCGTTTTCCGTTTTACTTTCCTTGCTGAGGGCAACATGGACACGCCGAGAGGATAATCATGAGGGGGACATGCTGGGGGCAGATTGCCCTCTTCCTGCACCTCTTGTCATTGAAAGTCGTTACAGAACCTGGTCAGACTCTCGTAGGCTTGTCTTAGGGTAAGGGTTAGGATTGATACGCGAGAAAGTACCCCCGACCCCGCTGGACATGTTCTCTGTCTTATCAAAGGCACAAAAGCATGGACCTCTTCGCAACATTAGGTTAGCGTCCGACAACGGGAGGTTTTACAATGGGCTACGAGGCGCCTCCCTCCGGAGTGGGGTAAAGTTAGTACCGCGACAAGAGATGATGCACGAACACGCAACAAGCAAACAGAGGAAAAACAGATGCTGTAATGCATACTGATGAGGCTACTTCCAACAGGGTTAATGCCATTTTTGGGAGCTGGGCGCGAGCTTTTGTAGAAATTCGGCTACAAGAACAACCCGCGAACAACTTGTGTGTTTCGCACACATGCACATCTTTTTCCGACCTTCGCACCTGGAGCTCACCCACCTCGGCGCCTCTACACCAAACTCGCAACACCCAGAGAGCTTGCTACCACACCAGTGTCCTGATGAACTTACGTGAAAGCGGCCAGCTGTGGTGTCATGTCGCTGATGCCTCATGACTGGGTGGATGAAAAAAAGCGTTTTCTATATATTCTGGATTTTTGTTGTTTGAAATCCGTATGCTGAAATGCCACCGTCGGTCCCAACCTTAGGCTCCGCGGTCTGCACGGTCTGGATTGCTCTAGACAATACCTCTGCTGACACCGCCACGACATGGCTCGACTGTTGAAAACTACATGTTTCTGTTTACTGGTTGCAGCTGCTGCAGCTGTCCACACATGATGCTGATATACTTGCTTCTTTCCATGGTGTTTAATACTGACGTAAGTCCACAGTATTCCAGCCCAACGATATTTCTTGAGATTCTGGGGAAGGATTTACAAATCGGTATAGACAGCCTTCAACGGCTCGCCCTCGATAGCGTCTCCCCCACGAAGCATGGCAAACGCTACATAGATACCAACACACCTTTTCTATCGCTTCGTGCAGCTTTGCTGTTGCTTCAGTGATGTGGGCCTCTTCGTCCATCGCTGCCACTCGATGCATTTCCCTCCGCCGGTGGGCGCGGTATGTGTGGAATTCGCCGGACCTGTTAATTAATTCAGTCATTGGATGGCGAATTAGCCTCTCTACATAGGTGAGGGAAACACTATACAAGGCAAGAGCAAAATCACTACCAAGAGCACGCGAACGCAAGGGCTTTCTTGCATTGGCCACGAAACTTCCCGCGATGGGAAGGAAACTGCAGGCACCAGAGCCGGACCAGAGCAAACCAAGCGATGCTGCTGCTGGTACCTGAACTGGTTCTGCTGCGCTGTTGGGGGTGTCGCTTCTTGGACAACCATGGAATACTAATTTTCCACTGTTTCAAGCCACACTGTTTCAAGGCAGGAGGAGTCATGGCACGAAAGTGAAAGTGGAGCGAATCTCAGTGTCTACAACGGGAAGCTCGTCGTGCCCCTGCCGTATGCATCCATAGTTGGAAACTCCGAGTGCATCCTGAACTTGGTCAACAAAGAGTCGTACATAGTCGCCAACAGCTACAATAGCAGTCATCTGGCCCTCTGCCGTAAGGGTCACGACGACATCGATTGATCGGTCCGCAAGAGCTGTCAGTCATTTGCTCATCTTTTGAAAGGGTCACCCACGACGGCACAGTGATCTACACCTACTGCTCTGCGTCTGCCAACAGACATTGTGCTCACCCTGCGCCGGCGCAGCTGCCCATGACCTGGTCCGTCTTCTCGACGACAAGCTTGCCGCCCGCCTTTCCCTCGTCATTGTCTTTGCCCTTGGCTTGGTCATAGCTCACGTGCACGAGCTTCGGGTTGTTGTCGCTGTCTGTTATCCGCGTTCGAACGGATGGCAACAAGGGCGACAACCGACAGACACATGGAGGCAGGAATGATCAAGCGACGGCAAGCAGCTGTGCCAAATTTTTCAAGACCAAGGGCGAGGCAAGTATTGCTTTGTAGAACATAAAATAGTCGAAGTTGCACCGAGTCTGCACGCTGAGACTCGACGACTCCACCCTCTAAAATTGTTTACCGTAAAAGTGCGTGTGATGGCACCGGGGTGCGATCGTTTTTGTAATCATTCTTATCTTGGATTTTTATCGCACCCCGGTGGCAGAGAACATGAACACTTCCGGGTGAAATTGACCAAGGGAGACAGCCAAGAGTGCTTGGGGGTTGACATCGAGAAGCTGTCGAACTACGTAAGGAAATTTGGATGGAGGGTTTGCATCGCGAACATGATGGAAACAGAGAAGGTAAGGAGACAAGAGGCGAGGGCGACGGAGGCGAAGAAAGGACCGAGCAGGGCAGTCGAGCAAGCAAGTCAGAAGAAGTCCGAGAAGAAGCGGAAGGCGAACGATTGAGTGCG